ATGAACTATGTATGTGTGACGTGCCCCAATATAGACATTTTGTATGATGATGTTTTAGTTTTACATATTTTTTAAATGCCGCTTCTTCCGAGTTCATATTGTACGCCAAGTGTTAAATTTATGTCAACAAATCTACTATAATATTATACATAACATATCATATTATATTAATTATTACACGCGTATGTTAGCGGGCGTTTAATACTTTAATTATACATGGACATTGGACGTTATTAATTAATAATACACGTGAACGTTTTCAGATACATAGGTAGGAGGTAGGTATGACTTGATTACTATTTAGGTAAATTATATTTTGTTTATACATATGATTATAATAATTCTATATTTCTATACTAAATTAAAACTATACCTATTATATGACTATACATATAATAAATAAAAACGGGGTGATCCATTTAACGCAAGTCACTAATTATTTCAGTATACAAACCACAAACGTTTCTGAACATATTTCTTTTATATAGATTTGAGTAACGACTTAAAATATGATTTTGTAACGACATAGTTAACAACCATTTAGCCCCTACTGATCAATACCACAAAAAAAAAAAAAAAAAAGGTAACAACATTATTGGAAAAATTATACTTTTTATTATTTTCTATCGTTATGATTTTCAAATTTTTTACTGCTTTGAATGACAACATACGTTTCAATTTCATATTCCTAAGCAGAATATTATTTGGAGTATTTCGATCTTGTTATTATTTATTACCTATAGGCTATAAGTTGAATTGATATTATAATATTATAATTTTTTAGATTCTGAGCGGAGATGGTTTTACAATAGTGTTTATTTTTTTATTCTGTATACAAAATTTCTACCAGAAAGAGTGCTTCGATTTCAACATATTATTATAGTACCTTATCTTTTAGCAAATTGGATCAAGATGGTACTATAGAGAAGTCATTTTACGATTTTCTCAGTAGTTATTTAATGACACGTGAAAAACCACCGACAAATACGAAAAACCGCTAAAATGGGATTTTATTTCTAACGCTTTGTTTATCACCATAGCAACGAATAAAAAATTATAATATTATAATATTAATTCAACTTACAGGCTATAATAAATAATAATAATAATATAAAAAATCCAAACTGACGAATCGTCTCCGCTCAGAAGCGTTTTTCTTATATCTACAATGATATAATATCATTAAATTTTTATACAATCCATTATATATTGACCCACTTATTGTAACCTACTGTACAGCAGAGCGATATCCACTAACCCGCTTTTTTTCTTTTCTATGGTGATAAACAAAGCGTAAGAAATTAAAATCCCATGTTTAGCAGTTTTTTGTAATTTTCCGGTGGTTTTTCCTGTGGCATTAAATAATTATTGAGAAAATCGAAAAATGACCTCTCAAAAGTAGCATCTTGATCCGATTTTCTAAAATATAAGATACTATATTTGTTGAAATCGAAGCACTCCTTTTGGCAGAAATTTTGTATTCAGGATAAAAAAAAAAATAAGCACCTCCGCTCAGAATCCAAAAATACAATATTACCTATATAGGTAGTAGAAGCGGGGCGTGCAAAAAGAGCATTAAGACGTATAATTTCGCGTAGTAGGTATAATATACAGTGGTGCGGGCGAGATATAATATAAAACAATATAATCAAATTACACGAATAAAGCCATAAAGGGATACGAGTGCGCTCGTTTTAAACAATTGCCAAAGCCGCCGTCGTCGTCGTCGTTAATCTAATATTATGAACAATTATCAAACTGGCGCATGCGTATGCGTTTGTGTCTGTTAAGTGTGAGAGTATCATAACTTTCATGTAGGCGGAACCCAAAACGGCCAGGCGGCGGACACGGACGTGCCGGAAACTCGAGGGGAAATGCGTTGCCGGCCAATGGATTTGATCGGAGTAATAACCGCGCGATTCTGCGCACAGAACCGGCGCACCGGAAATACTTTTTATAGAACCGCCCGACGCCTTTACCCACTTTTGTATCACTATTATTATTATAATATTGTGTACAATGTGATTTCTTTATCAGAAAACGATCATTCTTTAGTCTCAGAAAACGTTTTCATCGCTTGATTTTATTTCTGAGGATTTCCTTATAATATATAGGTAGGTACCTAATTAAGATAAATGTCCGAATCTGCCGAATATAGCTAATATTAGTTATAAGTATTTAAGTTTTAAACATGATAATGAATCAATATAATATATGCAGTGCCCCCGTGGTATATTTTGGCCTACTCGCCTATGCCACTGCATTCTACTCATCTAAAAGTTGAAAGAGTCACTCCCTGCAGTATATACCTACCATAATAAAAATATAATATATCAAAATGTATATATTATTATCTATACGACTTTACCTAATAATATAATATTAATATATTATATATACGACTATATTGGTCAATTATTTAATTATCACCAAATATAAAACGATTTCCTATTTATAAAAATAATAATTTGATGTATTATTGTTTTATCTATATTCTATACATTATATAGAAAAATAAAATACCACGCATCAAACTGCCATACAAAAAGAAAATTTCGATGACTAAAGATCAACAAAAAAAAAGATCTAAAAAAAATTGTTTATGTAGTTACTTAGGTAATGTATAGGTATACTATAGTATTGCGCGTGATTCTATATACCTATTTTAACAGTAATTTGAATTACCTAAACGGCTAAACCCTCATCGTCGTATATCATACCAAAAAGTATAAAAAATATTAAATACTATAATTTCAAATCATTTTTTTAATGATTTTAAATAATGTAATCAAAAATATTTTTAAAAACGTTAATATACTTTAAAAAATAATGAATAGTGAGTGTTTTTACTGTAACACTGTAACAGTTAAAATAACCACTCTATATTATATACTTGTTGTTTTGAGTTTTCTGCATAAACAAATATTGTATACATGTGTGTTTTGACTTCATATAAAAAACAGTCAGACTTTTACTATTTTCCTAAGAAACGCTTTATTTTACATACCTACTGGCTACTACTATTAGTATAATATATAATAAAACAATATTTAGATGTTAGAAATAATAAATATTTAAAATGTTCTGAGAATAATAATAAAATAATTGTTGATTTATATATAAGAACACGTCTATTATAATGTTATAGTTTATTAAAATAACACAATTTTTTTTTTATATATAAGAAATAATAAATCTACACCTTGAGGCACAATAAGAATATGGGCTAAATTACAGTCATATGAATGAGTTGTTGGAAGAAGCCACCCAGTAATGATACTTCCTAAAAATAACACAATAAATTAATTTATTGTTATTAGGTATCTATTAATATATTTATTTTAACTGCCTATTCATTATTTAAAATTCAAAAGCTTCGAAAATTCGTCCAAGAAATTACTTGATGTTTTAGTTTAAAAAACAAAACATTCCATGAATACCTCGGGTATAGTGTTGGTCTTGTACATACCTATTGTCAGCAGTTGTCACTTGTCATACAGTAGCAAAACTTATTATATTATGTTATAACATGTAAATATTATATACAACGCACTGCTGAATAATTCAGGTAAAAGACATAAGCATATAATTATAACAGTTGTTTAAATATTATCACAACAATTATTTGTTATGTTATATATTGCAGTTTAATAGCAGTCTTATACTTGATTATATTTTATTCAACGAACATTATAATATAGGTATTTGATATTATTTATTTATTATTTAACATTAAACGTGCTGTTGAAAGTTGAAACTGATTTAATACAATCATCTGAATTATCTAATTTTTATACCTGAATAGTGAATAATATGTTAATAATATATTATGTAAAGAATATAAGATGAGGGGAGACTGCATATGGAGAGGCACAAAGTCGATTTCAATCGATTTACCATAAAATCCTAAAATATAACGAATAATTGTTCCCATGTTATATTATATCTATATACTATGTATAAATAAGTTGAGATATTTTAGAGTACCTATATATATATATAATTTATATATAATAATATAAAAATTCAAACATATAAATATAAAAAATTGTATAAAATATAATTATAGGTATAATTAATACGTCGATATTACAATATAAATGGCTAAAAATATTAAATTGTGTATAATTATTGTAATATTAATTAGTATTTAAGTAGATATGTGTTTATATTTTTATAATTGTTTGATATAATTATAAACATAAAAGTGTTATACAACCATATAAGTTACGAAATTCTGTTATATTATGATAATGTTAAGTGTTTAAAAACTAAAATAACGAGATTTTTGTATTACAATAACCATATGTTTAAAAACTAATACTATGAATTACATAGTATAATAATATGTTATTTTGTATTATTACACATCTGCACAGCGACAAGACTGCTGCTGTTATATAATAGTATAATCTATCATTTTAATTTTATTAGAAAAATTGTTTGATTGTTCAGATTTTTTACAGAATAGATTATGTGAAGCATATTATATTCTTCTGATGGTTAAAATATTGTTAACATTTTTTCATAGGAACGGGTTAGGTCGTTCAGAGGACCCCGTCATAAATTCATAACTCATATACTCATACATAATATTATATATTATATAATAATATAATATACGCTGTAAATTACGTATAATTGTATTAGGTATGTAAAGTTTAAAAATAACTTGCTATAATTTACCAGAATTTTACATACTATATATAGGTGTACGTGTCAAGTCCACAATGTAAACCAGAAAAATAACACTACTATTGCTTATTGATTGTGGTTAACCAATAATCTGTTGAAACCCGTTATTAAATATTAATACAGCTGTTTAGCGCTTGTCTGTTTAACAAGTCCCTCAAATATTTCTGCAAAAATCCGTTTCGTCATTTTTCGTACTCGGCCGTTTGTTTGTCACGAGTCGGAAATGGACGTTAACTTGATGGAAGTTTCAAGCCGTCGGGGTCGTACGAATGTTTTCGTGATCGACGTGCTTGATCGAAGGATCGATGCGACGTTCTGGTTACCAATGGTGCACTACCTCTACGACGAGGACTCAGAGAAAGGATTCGGTCGTCTCCGGAGATGAAAATGGACTCGCCCGTGTATACCAAGCCTCGATTGCTGCATCAACCGTGGTTCCAAATATTCCTGTGGAGGTGCAGGACACCGTCACTCCCGACTCGCTGCGACCTCCACGTCATGTCCGCTGCACGATCGATGGGCTAGACTTGGCCGTCGACGGTTGGAGGATATCCTCGGCTGTAGGGCATGCCAGCCTTTCCGGGGAGAACCGATCTGGTCGTCCACGGAGCTTAGGGTTCAGTTTTTATGTTATAATATATACCTAGCTTTGTGGAGCCGGCTGTGATATGCCGTTATAAAGCAGTAACTCCAAAATACGCCCAGGAAACCGTTTCCAACACTAAATTAGTCCGTAGAGTAAAAATAATAAATTATAAGGAGATGGTATGTTATTGTATTTTTCACGAGGAAACTATTAAACACACTAAATAAATTTCTTGATACATTTTTATGGGTTTTAATGAATTCACTGCATATGAGGTTAAATTTTTCAGAAGTACACTTTTATTTACTATTGTACTAGCTGAATTACCCGCCGTTGTCCGGGAAAACAATCGGTGTAGCCGTTCACTCGTGATGCCATTTTTATATATTGTAGAGATGAGTTACGTATACCCATTATACACGGAATATTGCTGTTCTACTATAAGAACTTACACGTGTACCTATTATAGTACCCACCTATACTATTTATACTTAAGTATATCAGCTATAAGTTTATTTTATTATAGACAGTGATTAATATTCTACGGCAGCCAACTAATTTATATTGCAACACGTAAATATTATAAAAATGTGTATTGTGTGGGTATACTATAACCTAACCTATAGGTATACGAAGTGTATTTGTTCATATTGTTCAGTAGAATAATATTATATATAGAGACTACGTCAATCAAGTGCAGGTTTCCGGCTGATCAGTTAAGTTGTATTTATATACATAATAGTCACGCATGAGCCTATATTATAGAGGTATATAATAGTAATATATCACATATTGTAGCACTGTATATAATATAAGTATTTAGTGTATTAACTATTAAGTACTGTATAAAATAATGTATATACGGTGTGATTCTATAATCTTGCTTAGCACCCCATTTCATCGTTTAATAATGCATTTATTCAAATTCTAATATTCAGGGAATTTTTAAGTAGGTTATTATACTTATACCTAAATAATAAAAAGTAAAGACCTAATTATTTACGAATGCTTACATTTTTATACTATTTAAAAAGCCGTTTCCTCTTGGAGATTTTCTTTTTTCTATTAGGAAGCAACTATTATTATTGTATATTTTAAAGTAGATATTTTTTTTTAATTTAACTTTATGTAAGTTTTAAGGATATTAATCCTATGTATACAATGGTTTTACATAAAATATATTATAAGTAATATCAAGACGTCGAATACTAATGATTTTGAGAAATTGTTTACAAATAATAGAATGTTAATACTTAATAATAGATTAATATTAATATATTAGTATCATTTTCAAGTAATCATAGCTCATATAGGACATTATCCCTGCTATAACTTGTAATAACTTATTAATTTGTATCGCACAGAACACTCCATATATTTTATTTAATAGTTGAATTTATGCGGTCTTTAAGTATATACATACTAAAAATATTAAATATCAGAATTTGAATTATTGCATTTATAATATTATATGGGAAATAATATAGGAATGAATCACTCTGTATATAAATATATATACAGCGCCCCCGAACAGTGGCGTCCGCAGTGGTGGCTAACGGGCTGAAGCCCCCCCTCCCAATTTCCCGTATTATTATTACTTAAAAAAAAAATATTTATCAAGTTTCTACTATAGTAAAGCAATACGTAAATTTCATATCGCCTTACCAGAATGAATTCATTTTTGAAAAAACATTGTATTTGCATACCAATTTTCCTAAAACTATCTGTAATTTTTCGGTAAAAGTATGAACTACTTGTATGAAAGGCCTTGTATTAAATTTTATAGTCTTCGCTTATACAAATTTAATATTTTATAAGTCTTGAACTACAAATTAACTGTGGTTTTGACGAGGCTTTCGACAAAATTTGAACTTAAAATGCTTATAAAAATAATATGATGCATATGTGTCGTTAATATCTTAGGCAATTCTTAGCTATAATAAAAACTTAAGTATTACATTTTTAAGCTTTTTGACCGGATAAATATTTTTTTAATGACATTTATAGAAAAAAAAAATTTTAATTAGTGAAATACAATCCAAGGGAGGATGCTATAACCACGCTGGTTATACCAAACAATTTTAATACGTTTTCATTTTTTTTCTCCAATTACTTTAAAAATCACTGAGAATTTTCAATTTCGACCTCCTAAAAGCACCAACTAGATAAAATTTTCTTCCAAAAACATAGATCTGCAGGCATCGAAATTTATGAACAGAGCATTTTTTTCTACCAGAAAAATTGAGAAGTTACAAACATTTTAAAATACCTCAAATAAGCGTCTGAAATTATTAGACTGGACAAAATAAAAATAAAATTGTAACTAATTTTCAAGCCCTCCCCAATGAAAAATCCTGGGTACGCCACTGCTCACAAATTGTATATAATACGTATACACGCGTGTAATAGCTTTGACTCGAAAAGGAGCAAAAAAAAACTGACATAAGAACATTCAGTGCACTGCAGTTGCACCAGTATACAACGCAGCTACCTATTACTCATACGCATTATATATTCTACATATTATAATATCTATACGTCTATCTACATGCATTAGAGGCAGTCATAAAATTACTAATTACTCATCCATGTCTATAATATTTTTCATTATTTTGACACGACGCGTATAGGTCGATTATATAGAGTAGATGACTCTCGTCGTATATATATACCATAATGTACGCATAAACGCCCGTTAACATGAGTGAGGCATTATGTATACATATATAATAAAGATATCGACGAACGCCCCTTGGAAACGGATGGGCGGGACTTGTACGAGCCGAAACAAGTGTCCCGCGTTTGGCCAGGGATCAGTGGCATTATTCGTTGCAGTTGCAGAAACGTTCGGGTCCGACCAGTGTAGTTGTACATCATCACGATCGCACCCCCAAGACCCGTCGGAGTAGCTGCACAAACTCAATTTTTTTTTCTTAAATTTTTTTCGGGACTTTGGTCTCATCGTCCGGTGGTCGGAATATAGTGTCCCTTTCGTGTCTTATACAACTCGCGTCGCCGTGTAAAAAACAGCGTTCAATCTTTGGGTCCGCGCGCCATGGCGAGTGATATAATCAACTATTCTTCTCGACATTATCAACCGAATTATTCAGGTAAGCAATCACATTTTTTTTTTTTTATTGATCACGACACGTGCAGGGTGATCATATAGGTATGAGTGCTATTTAACAAAAAAACAACAAGTGTTATATGTGTAGGCACCTACATTTTTTAAAGTTCTTTAAAAGTAGGTATATAATACAATATATATAGGTAGTTGTAATTCATTCTTGAATATCTGTACCACAGAAGTCAACTAACGTAAATTGTCCATGGGAGACAAAACAAAATATTTGTTGCAATGGACTATTACCATTGTATACTTCAAAAATATTATTTTATATTATCTATATATATAATTTTCTTATGTAAACGCTGTACATACGTTTCTATACTCCTATCGTAGTTTAAGACTTACGTTAGTATACCTCTTGCTATCTATGCATTTATTGTATATAGGACTTAGTTTTGATACCTTTAAAAAGATCACAAAAAGCATTTCTAATTATATAACTAACTAAAAATTTCAAAAAATGGACTTGCGTTAGTGTACTTGTGTGGTAAAGATATGTTTTTACTTTTTTGTTTAATAACTTTCCGTTTTACGAATTTCAAATTTTAGCATATAATTATCAAAATCTAAAACAAATACCTATATACTATACTACTATATTAGTATAGTATTAGATAAATGTTTGTTCCGTCAAACATAATGTATAGGTATATAACATATATTGTACATTTACGTTTAGCATAAATTAACACTCAATACTAGAACACTAAGTAGGTACACAATTTTGAAACAATTTTTCTACAATAGTAAATAGTAAATATTGACATATATTATTACTGTCAAACTCAAATATGTGAGAACATTATCTGAGAATCTAATATGTATTTATGTATCATCGTTTGATAAATCGTAAATATACCTACTCTAATATAAAAATAAAAAACATTATTTTAACTGACATATTAGACAAAGAAAAAATGTATTTGTAGGTACCTTAATAATATCCATTATCCATATAGATTTTTAAAATTATTTAAATGTAACTGGACCTAGTACCTGTAGGCTATCTACTTACAAACGAAAAAGGTAACTAAAATAATTCTCATTTAGAAAATTTAAGTCATTCAAACATTTTAATGTCAAAATCTGTTATAAAATGAAATATGTTCATTTAAAAATTTACAGTTTATATGTGAATCCAATAAATACATGAACGATTATTATTAGGGCATTTCACAGGAACCATTTTCTAGGGTATCGGGTACATTTTTTTAAATAACGTTTGGGTGTCGATGAATGTTATTAATATACGGGTTTATATACCAGATACGAACTTAGCTCATTTGGTATACGTATAAGCTCTTATTATTATTATTATATATTATAATTGAATTGCGCTGAAATAAATAAACAAATAAATATGGGACGGATGTTTTGTAGTACAAGAAAAACTTACAAAAATTAAAGGAGTGGTCAGATAAGACCTACGCATGACGTAAATATAGATATTACAAGAAAAACATTTATCGGATATCATCAAAATAACCCTCTCCCCCCCCCTCAAAAAAAAGTTGAGCATATTTTGTGCTTATACCTATATTATATTATTATGATTATTACTTATTATAGTTATTACATTTAATAATTAATTTAAATGCCAACTATTTAATAAAATTATTCCTTTTGATATTAATTATTTTTAAACAATTGTTTAACGAATTACAAAATTCACACTAATTGATATTCACATGAAATGTGTACCTACCTAAAGTAAATAATTTTACCAGGTTTCGGGATAAACGAAATTTCCGTTTTTGAAGGGGTTGTAAAGATGTCGCAGATTTGGGTTAAGTTTGATGCAAATCCCTGATTTTTATATTATAGTAGTTTATGACAAATATGACTAGTACATATAATACAGCTGTTGACTTCTAAAACATGCCTCCCACCTTGTATTATAATTAAAATAGTTATTATACACTATATTATCAGCTCCGATAAACAGGAAGTTCATAAGTTTAAACGAGTTACCTTCCATAAAATATAGCTTCGTGATGGTTCATGAACTTCTCTAAAATAAACCACATAAATAGGTGAATTTATATTCATAAATGTGTTATTTAAAATAAATTGACTTAACAGTAATACATATATAATAGTACATAACAATGACAAACAAAACGATATTTTTGTGTTACAGTGAAGCAAGAATGCATGACGGCCCTCGGTGTAGCGGCCACGCCGTTGTCTTCAGCTGTTCCCGGCGACGGGCGTTACGTCGTCCAGGACCTGTCGCCGTCGGCTCCGTCCTACTGGATGCCGGCCGCGGAACAGCAGCAGATGGTGACGTGCGTCGTCGGTAGCACCGCGTCGTCTTCATCGTCGTTCGTGGACGACGAATCCACGTCGTACGAGGACATCACGTACAATAATTACGGACCATCTTCGGTTGCAGCGTTGCAGGCCGCCGCCGCGGCCGCGGCTGCCGTGGCCAATAGCGACTACAGTGGCCTTTACGGTCATCATCTGCAGCAACACCCACAGCAACAGCAGCAGCCGTTGCTGCAGTACGGTAACGTCGGTTACTACGACGGCGGCAGCGGCGGTTACCACCAGCTCGACCACTTGCAGGGCTACGACGAAAAGCCGGCGGCGTACGACAACAACAACGCGGCCGATGTATGCGACATGAATTCCGCAGTAACGGCCGCAGCCGTGGCCGTCGCTTACGACGATCCGTACGCCGCGGCCGCCGTGTCACAACTCGATCGACAGCCGCTTACGCCACAGGTAAGCACGTGCTTATATTGCAATATTATATCTTTATACGCGCTGCTACCTATCCTTTCGATGATTGCCAAATCTAAAAATCAACAATATAGGTTGGTTGTTCCGAGTCGAGTCTTGAATATTTAGCTTATTCTGTTCTAGGGGAAAAAAAACGATAATGTAAAATGTTTAGTTTTAAATTGATGTTTGATTGTTACCAGCTATACCATATACGTACAAATGCCTTACTCAAAAAAAAAAACCATATATACAATATACATAATATAATATTATTATGCTATTATAATATAGGTACCTACTTCTATATAGTTGCTTACACTGCAGTACTGCCCACAAGTTGGTAACTTAGTATAAATATATTTTTAATAATAGATACAATATTGAAAATCGTCGATTTGAAGTAGTCACTTATAGTGGAGTTTTGGGTCACGTAAATGCAATAAATTGTAATTTATAAATAACGGCGGACGTCGGCGGTGTATACATATAATATAATATATGGCATAAAAAACTTAATATTATTCTACACCTTCAAGTAACCCGTGAATTATATTATATTATGTCGTGGAATTTGTGTATCCCATAAGCGCGAGCACGGGCCACGGGGTAGTCATGGTAGGCACTTGTCTACAGTGCGAACTTAGTTAAACGAGGTTACCCCTTCCAAATTAGTTATTAAAACTATTAGGTGAGAATATGAATATACCTATATACGTAATATGTGTGTGTGTGTGTTATGTACTTATGCATATGACTACCCTTCCAGAAATCCTGCGCACGCTTATGGTGCATCCTATCATGAAGCACAGTTATCGCCGGAAGCGAGTGGGAAGTGTCGTAGTCGTTGTTCGTCAGGATCCAGAACTATCGAACTGCAAGACAAGTTTAGGCACTATAGTCAATATACCTACTAAATAATGTGTACAATTATTAATACGGACTGGCAAACGGGGGTTCTCGAGATTTGCCAAAGACTTTGAGATAAAAACGTTTAATCGAGGATTATGAAAACAAAGTGGATGGCAGCAGCTTACCAGCATTCAGCAGCTTACCGCAGTCCAACGAGGACCTCGCGAGTTTAAGCCCTCACTGGATTGTAAAGATAAATGTTCGGACGAAAATTTTTTGAACGCGTCGTTTTAAAATTCCTTGGTGTAAATCTGGGATTCCACTTCACCGTTTCATGTGGGGGTTCCCTACATTAAAAAAATACGTTTAAAGGCGTGTTGTGGTGCAGTCAGCTTTATTGAGGTTCCATATAATATTATAAACCTGCCCGGTGTTCCTACTCTATCTTCAACTCTTCAACTACGGTATAAGTTCTGAGACCGCCGTCCATCAAAATAATTACATTGTATATTTGTATAAACTAAATACACGGTATACCTACTCGTGGTCGATGTAACTAGAGGGTAACCGTATCATTTTTCGTCGGTATACCTATTTGGTCATCCGTCGTCACTCGTCGCTGACCGTTTTCTCCGCGATCGTCTCGCCAGCGCGGCGCCAACCAATGAACAACGATTTTCGAACATAAGAATATATTAATATATGACGTGTTGTTTAGTGCAGTGACGGAGATCGCCTAGCCCCGAAATTCGATCTAAAAACAATAATTTAACACTGCAGAACAGTTTTTACTATATTTGATTATAAGCTAAAAAAAACCACAAACAAATAAGCTATGTTTTTCGGTTAAAAAAAATTTGATTCAAACTGGTTGCGATTTTTCCAACCAGCCAAACCGCTCGTCTTGTACGCTACATTTTTTTATGAGAAACTGCCACGAGTTTTTTGCTGTAATTCCCTAAACAGTTTATTTTTTATTGGTAAGATACTAAGATCTCATCTTGAATAATATGCTTCACTTATTTCATATTTGGTTCAATATTACGAAAATTCATGAATATATTCAATTTAAAATAACTTTTCAAGATGGCAGGGTTCAACGAGAACCCTATTCGGGTTATAATGGAATTTCAAGTTTTTCTATATTGATGATCTACGATATAAAAGGAATGCCCAAGATGTAGTATTTTTATTTAAAATCATTGTTGGGAACATTTCTTATCTAGCTATAATCGATTAGCGAATAAATAAAAAATATGAATAAAAAAATACTGGAATCTTTATCTTCTCCTATATAAACGTTTTCAATTTGTAATGCAGTGGTTCCCAGCCTTTTTCATACTACCGCCTCCTTGTAAATTTTCAAACATGTCATTGCCCCCCCCCCCCGTTAAAAATGTATTATAAATCAACTTACGAAGTAATTATATTAATTATAAGAAAAAACTTAAAAGTCGCGAATTCAGCGCCCCTCCTTTAATAATTATGCGAGTGGCAGGTAATAAAGCTAATAATAATTTTTCCAATCGCAGTAATATTGATAAGTTCAAATCGTGTTTAAATATGAAAAATATTGTTTATTTAAAGTGTTATTATTAATTTATTGTAGTATATAACTATATTATACATATAGATATATGTTAAATATTTTATACTGCAGTTATCGTATACTCGTAATATGCAGTTATTATTCACAAATGGAGTTAAGTAAACATTATTTGTATTATATATTATTATTATATTATAAACTATAAAGGTAGTTTTGTACATCGGTCGTCCCTTTTTACGCGCCACCGGAACTGTCGTACGACAAAATAAATCGCGACTTCCCCGCACCTATATAATACGCGTCTATTATACGACCAGTTTCAATTTACCCTCCGTTTTTTTTTTTTTTTTTACTTTCCGGGTTAGGTCGAGCACTTGGGATTTTATTTAATGGGTTTGGAGTTATGACTACACGTTGTATATAGGTACCTACTCCAACACGTGTAGTGTATCCCACACCGCTGCAGTGTTAGACTACCCTATATACACTTTATAATATATTATATACATATGCACGCGGCACCCGACCCCGGAAAGGTGCAAACTGACTCTGGAAAAAACTTAGAATTTTTTCGGTTAGTCGTATATAGTTTTAATTATTATCTAAATACGCATGAAAAGTAATAGTATACTCGCTCGCTGCACATGCGCTGGATACACTCGTTCAGTGTAAGATTTCGTGGAGATTAACTCATTAACTATAATATTATTATACCTACTCTTTTAGCACCAAAAACCCTGATCAATAACAAATGCAAATTTAAAGCCCGTTGTGAGCGGATTTCGGATAGGCGTACATCTTCATTTAGTTTTCGTAAAAAAAGGTTTTTTTTTCAAATATTCGCGCTTCCCACACGTCTGCGATGTGGTTATTACTGCGCAAACATTTTTTTTTTTTTTTTAATGAAGACAGAATAATATACCGGATTCTATTTATATTAAACACGCAGACCCGCAGTTTATGTTCAGCTTTTGTCTCTTATTACGTATACGGTTTACAATATTCTCATTACGGGTTTTAACGATTAATTTGATTCCAACTCTCGAATTATTGGAAGGGGGCCAAATACGAATACCTACTTCAAACAGCCTCGGCTTTCAATAGTTCGAGCGCAGTATAAGTCTGTATAGATAGTTAGATGATTTACAATAGGTAGTTATTATTTGAATATTACACGAACGACATTATATATTATAATATTAACAGTTGTAGGTATCGTATATTATGTAGGTAGGTTTACTTAAAATATTAAATTTACTACAAGTCATTAAGTCTATCAATTCTATTTTACATTTTACTCCACGGTGTGCTATAGTTCTTTATAATATACTCAAACCCAATCTTAGGCAGTTGGGCACAAGAAACCGTTCGGCTAATAAATGAATAGCAATAATTCCTGAAACATATAAAATTCTTAAACGTTATTTTGACTTGAACTTAATCATAACTTAGGTAATTTTACTATTCACAATACACCATAATCTATAGGTATTATATTATAATATAATTTGTATAATAACGAATGTTTATTTGTTTGTACTCTATAGACTCAAAAACTGTGTGTTTTAAAATTGCAATATAAGTTATATCAAAAGATTCCTCGAAACTCTGAGGATGTTTATGATTTATTTTTTCAACTTATATAGGTTGATATAGAGTGGTTCACATATGCATTTAATCTTAACAGATGCAAATTGATTTTTTTGTATTTATTTAAATTTTAAATGATCAAAAAATGTATCATTGTAACAATTTATTGTGTTTATGCCTACTATATATTTAAATTTTCAACTGAACCAGAACGGTAAACTATAGGTCGTAGATAAATTAGATTTAACTTTGTGAGGTCAGGTATAAAACAAATAATTGTCATGTAATATCATAATATTAAACAGTAGATGAAATAATTGAAATTTAGCCACTCGTGTCTTTAACCAACCGTTGAAATAGAGATTGGTCATTTAACAACCCACCACCAACCCATCACCACGAAACGCTTTAGCTGATATCGAAAACAATATCATATAATGACACAAATTATATTGAACCGTTTCCCTTTACAGTACCGTCCTGTACAACAAAGCAACAACAATGCCTCTGCTGCCGACGATGACGACGACGACGACGAAAACGACGACGACGAAGAAGCAAACGACGATGATGATGACAACAATAAACGGCTGCCGCTTCAGCCGCAACGGCAACAGCAACTGCAATTTCAGCGGCGACAACAGCTGCTGCAACAGCAACAGCACATGATGCAGCAACAGTGCAGTTCTTCGGAGTCGGTCCCGACGACTCTGATGCAGGCGGCGGTGCCTGTTGTGCGCGTCGTCAAGCGCAGGAACACGGCCAACAAGAAGGAACGGCGGCGGACGCAGAGCATCAACAACGCGTTCTCCGACCTCCGGGACTGCATACCCAACGTGCCGTCCGACACCAAACTGTCGAAAATCAAAACGCTCCGGCTGGCCACGTCTTACATTGGTTACCTTATGACCGTGCTGGACAGCGACGACCCGGACACGGACGGTTTCAAAGCCGACCTGTCCGCGCACACGTCCAAGCGGTCGGCTCAGACGCCACACGTGCAGGCCGAGAAGGCCCAACAACAGCAGGTTTGTACATAAAAATTCAAAACCTAAGTTATAAGGTTAGTTAAATAAAGGCAAATGAATAACAAATACGAATCAGACAACTTATACAGGTAAAGTTTAAAATTGTACCTACCAATTTGTATTGCGGTTCTGCGAGATTAAGTTGTGGGGATGAGCCGTGAGGGGATGGTGGGCAACAGTATTTGTCGCATTGTGAACTGTACATTGTAATAATATAATACAATTGATATTGAATATCGTATTTTCCGAGTGATAATATAGGTAATAAATAGAAAACCGTAAATCCTATTTAGAACTATGGACGGTTAAAATACGGTCTGTGGACGTATAAAATCTGTCTCAAGTAGCACTGTAGCAGTATACTAGCTAGGGCCTATATATACTCGAAATTCGTGCATCGAGAAACGATTTACGGTTATTTACATAATATGGGTACTCACTATTATACATATGAGTATTTATAACGTAATTTTCGAACCATTTTTACTATACAAACGTCGTCGTTACAATCTACAAGAGCTATGCGTTTCGTCCAGCGGCTCTCGTCGCGTCGTGGGAAGAAACACCTAAAAATCGATTTAAATTTAAAAGAAAACAGCATAATATTAATTGTTCAAATCGCGAACATTTTCCAAAGAAAATCGCCTATATACGCTTCCAAATTTATATTCCATATCAAATTAAATTTGCACGAAATTTTCAACAACGCATAATATAATGTCACACGCATTGATTAAACGGCCAACTATGTCGTAAAATACTCAATTTTTTTTTGTTCAAGCGACTCTGTTTGTATAATATTATTATCTATTACGCCACTGTTACTATCGCCTTGTCACATTACGTCCAAATTCGATTGCCGTTTTCAATGCAGTCGCCCGACGTTCGCTATACACCCGACCCATCTGCAGTGTAATTAAATAATATACGCACGCGCCTGCAATATCGCTGAACCCTAAATATTATGACTATAGAGAGTGATATATTTACAACGCGATAACCGCAGCAATCAACTATAAACCATAACCGTGTTCAAACGCTTTATTATAATACACTCATCATAATACCATAATTATATTATAATATATCGTAATAGAACCGTCTGGGACGGCATCGTACAATATTGTGTATATATTTACACGTCTGACACGTGACACTCCGATATCTATTTACTATTATATCAACGACGGCTAATATAATATTATATCATACATAATTATATTATTATAATATATTATGATGTGCACACTGCGGCAGCACATTATTAAATAATAAATATTAATGCGTATTATATTGAGTAATAGTATCTATTATGTAATATTGTATTATAGTTATATGTATTATGTTATACATTGTTCCAAACTGCTCGAAGTTTGATCCAAACCAAACCTTTTTTTTTTATTCCGTCTGGAAATTAAACCGATGAAATTATATTTTGTATAGGTACTTATGTGTATATTATTATAATAGTATCAAAACATACTTTTTAATGGTATTAAAATGTATTATTTATTTTTTATAGATGATGATCGCCCGAAACCCTTTGAATCCTACCAACGACCACCAACACCAAGAACACCAACACCACCACAAGCGGAGCAAAGGCAGGACCGGGTGGCCACAAGACGTGTGGGCATTAGAACTGAAACAAGAACAAGTGTAACCACGCACCCGGTGCACGCCTTTTCGACGACCTTTTTTTCGTTATTGCTGATAAATGATCATTAATCATTTAGGCGCGGAAAAATCGAATCGTATGCGCCCACGCGTAAATATAAGGATCACTACAGCGCGGATCCTGAGTGTATATACTAATTAGTTATAACTTATAAGTAATATAATTTATATATTATTTATCATACTGTATATGTGTATGAAAATGTACGCTAAACCATAATAATTATATGTGTATATTATACAGAATGCAATAATGAGACATAAGTTTATTGTATTTATTAATCCTGCAACGATTCGTCGCACTAAACAAGCCACGCCATACTGTAAATTGAATGTTGGGCAAAGTACGCAAGTCCATACAAATATATCCATATGACCGTATATAATATATAAAGACAACCTATTGGATAAAGTAAAAATAGCGGTCCATACCTTGGTCACGGGCGGCATTTTTCTTCGGGCTGCAAGTCATGGTGTCCGGAGAACAAGTGCCGCCATATTTTCTGTACTACGTGAGTGTCCTGTGGCGATACAAACTTCTATTTTTCAAATGAGAACCCCTATCTGCAACCCCTTTTACTGAAAATTATTTTTTAGTTTATTTTATTAAAAATGATGATGTACCTATCTAAATCAAAAATCTAGTAAGTAGTTTCTGAGTTATTAAAATGTTTATAATAAGAGTAATTATCCAAAAAATATATGGTTGTACAAAAACATTAAGGTCAATATAGTAATTACTAACGTTTTCGAATCATCTAATCCCTCATAATATGTACAATATACTTAACTTATATTACCATAGACATATTATCCTTGGTACACAAAATTATATAACTCAAAAAATACCTAATCGTTCAAATTTCAATTTAGAATTTAGATACATCAAAATCAGAATTTATTTGAATATAAATAAGTATAATTTAACCATAAAAATAGGGCGAGCATGCTTAAAAAATCATCTCGTATAGGTACCTACCAATTCGAATGTTAAACGTAATTTTTTTTCTACAACACATTTAAACTGCATCACGGAACAGCCACCGCTCGAAAACGGTCCAATTATTATTTGTATACAGTGGAGACTTTCCTCATGTATAAAATATTTATATATAAATATATTATGTAAGGCTGGGCATTAATGTATAAAAAATCGTATTTTATTTTAACTTAGGTAACTTGATTGTTTCTTAATTAACGAGAAATCGACGAATATTTAGCCAACTTACCCTAACTGAGTTTAAAAAATCATTAACTTACCGAGATTTGTATATACCTACTATTTGCTCAGATATAGTGTCAACTTCTGCAATTTGGTTTCATAAGGTCACAAATCACAATATATATATATAGTGATCATTTCAATGTTCATTTTAGAATCTGAGCGGAGCGAGGAAGCTAGTGGTTTTACAACGGTGTTTATTTTATTTATTTTTTTATATCCTGTATACAAAATTACTACCAGAAGGAGTGCTTCGATTTCAACACATAGTACCTTATCTTTTAGCAAATTGGATCAAGATGGTACCTTAAACCGGTCATTTTTCGATTTTCTTAATAGTTATTTAATGCCAAGTGAAAAACCACCGGCAAATTACGGAACACCGCTAAAAATGGGAGTTTAATTTTCAATGCTTTGTTCATCACCATACCTAGACACGAATAAAAAATTATAATATTATAATATTAATTCAACTTCCATGATAAAATAAATAATAACAATATAAAATATCCTGACTGACGCTCAGAATCGTTTTTCTTATACAATGATATTACATAATTGAATTCAAGTTTAATACAATCCATTATACAATGGCCCACTTGTAACCTACTGTACAGCAGAGCGACATACATTTACCCGCTTTTTTCATATTATTAATATACACCAATACAATAAAATTCGACGCGTTTAACATAGGGATATGAACCCACCGTTGAAATCTAGTGTTTAGACGAGCGGTGAAGTGGACAAACATTTCGCGGGGTAACCCCGAACCACTCCACTCCGCTCGTCTAAACTTTAAATACTTATAACTCATAAACTACTCAACCCAAATTCGATTTTCATGTATCAAAATACTAAGAAAAATATTCTGCTTTGGAATATAAAATTAAAACCCTATGTTGTTATTCAAAAAAGTAAAAAACTTAAAAAATTATAAGGATAAAAAATATCTAAAAATATAATTTTTTAATAACAATTTTGTTTTATAAGCGACTTGAAACTATGTAAAAAAATATCTTCAAAAAAATTTACACTTTTTGAAATAATGAGTGTTGTTTGATAAAAGAATCACCCAGTATACAATATTATATTGTATTAATTTATATAAATATTGTAGTATCTACCTATAATCAAGCTCGGAAACAGGGGGAGGGCTAAAGTCCCTTAGGGAGGCCCCATGGAAATGTTATGTATTATGTATTTATTTAAATACAATAAATAATTCACGAGCCTTAAAATCCATAAATTTAAAATATCAATAAAATTGTTAATATTGCTATCAAATCGTACCCATAAATTATTATCTATTATTTACCTACTAAAATTTAAATTGTATTTTTTTTGAAAAAAAATTAGCACCCCTCCCTCCATTTCAGATTTCTGGATCCACGTATACACTGTCAAGCCTGAGAACATAATATACTCAGCTGACCGTCAAAAATCGGTTATTCTGCTAATTCTCAAGCTATATCCTGCCAATTGCCATAGTGAACTGCGGTCTTGATGGCAGGATTTAGCGAGTGGTTATACACAGAATCGGCGTGATCTCTCACTGAACGACTGAACAGGGTATATACCTATAGTCATGTATTATTAAACGATATAATAAATTATATTTTACGAGTACCTACAATCATAGGCTCAAAAGGGGGGGGCTTTAGGGGCTAAGCCCCCCAACATTTTTCTACATTTTGTTTTAAGCTTATTGGATATTATAAAAGTAATGCTTTAGCCCCCTCATCCCAAACGCTATACTTGGGCCTATGCCTACAATGGTAATTATAGTAGAGCATCGTGATTATCCGTTTTACAAAAACTTTAAGAATATTATATAATAGGTTATAGGTAACATACGACATTGCGACGTGTAACGATATGTTTTACATTAAGATTTACAATTTTTTAATATATACCCCTTGGGGCCGTTCTTACAATGTCCGGTAAAGTGTCGGTTACCGACTGATAATAGATTTTATTACAGGCAGAATTCGGCCAGTTAAGTGTCGCTTAACTTTAACCGGACATTGTAAGAACGGCACTTAATGTTATTTAATAATAACGATGAGCACTCCTGATTTTAATATATATTTAAGTACCTACCTATAGAAACACATATTGTATTATGATATATGTAATTGTATTATTTTTCCTCACCACCACTGTCCGAAAATATAGTTCAAAATACGATCGTCTATCACTCTATACGTCTCTCATCGATTTGGATAATATCGAACGCGCTCAACTTAAATTATTTTGTTTATTATATTGTGTACGATAGTATAATAATTAATATCATTTAATATATTATTATTATCTTCATCGTAATATTGTTATAATTTGTATTATTTATGTTTATGACAAATGACGCGTCGTACCTACATTTAATAGTTATTACAGTGTATACAAATTTGTACAGCAATATACGTATATTTTATTTATGATGTTATTATGTGTGAGTGTGATGTGTGTATTAATTATTGCGACGTAATTATCAGTAATTAATAATTTCATTATAAAATATTATTATGTATAATATATCAGGCGAGACGCGACGTTACCGTAAAATCCAAACATTGTACCAAATAATTTTATACCTACGTATATGAGATCGAAATAACTGATGATCCTATATGATCCTATTGACACAATCGATAGTAACAGGTCTAACGTGCGGTCTATGTAGGTATACTGCGGATACTATTGGTCTAACGTCTATGTCACCACTAAAATTTGCAATCTACAGACATTTTAAACCTATATAAAAAATATAATATATATAATTACAAATTGAAGAACGTACCTCTACGTTTTATAGTTAAAGTGACCATATTTTAACATTTATACAAAAAAACGGGATATAAGATTTTGGCTCTACAATTTAAAAAAATAATCCTCTTTAAAAATTGTATAATGATTTTAATATTTTTAATAAGTAACTTGGAAGATAATGTTTGCCTGTTTAATATGTGATTAAGGACAAAAGTGTCACCTTTGTTTTGGGGGTTCCATATATACGATATATTATACGATGTGTAATAATACGCCATTTACACATATTTTTATGGAAAAAGAAACATCTTAAGAGCTACACATAATGAAAATAATTAATTTTTCAAAATCCAGAGGGGTGGATAATTTTTTAACAATATAAACAGGGGGGAGTGGAAAACGTGTAAAAAATGAGTAATTCCTCCCCTCCTACATCAATAACCTGGTTGAGGGGGGTGGAAAGCGAATTCCTTTGTTGAAAATTGTATTTAGAAAATATATATGGTAACCGGGTTTACAAAACGTATTTTGTTAAAATTGTTTTACTACTTCTTTCTTAATTTCATATTAAGCGCCTACCTACATAAAGTCCTAGACCTGAACTTATTACAACAGTACAACACTATTTTTTGAAAAATATTTATTGGAAAAATTAGAGTAATCTACACTGAAACAGACCACTCTGAATACGCATCAATATATTATTATGGTGCTACAAATTACAATATATAATAATATGTTGTCTTGGTGGGCTCGGCGCACACATGATTCGCGGTGGTAATATGTGTATGTATAGACTTAAGTTGTTTTGTAAACAAGATCTCATTAGAAGATAATATAGGGATCACTCCCCGACCAGACAATATTGTATACGTCTATACAATAATATAATAATATATAAAATGCAATGTGTATAGGGCTTATAGAAGATGTTGGTTTTGCATGTTTTTTGAGGGAGATTAGATTTGTTGCCAAGTAAGATAGAAATAAATTATTAGTTTCAAGACATTACGAAAAAAAAAATATTAACTATTTATACAGGTAGTGCATATTTTTTAGTTTTAAACTTTAAAGGCATAATTCTTAATTTTACAGTTTTACAATTTGTTAGAGTACATTTTATGATTATGACCAATAAACCATAATCCAATTTAAAAATATGAAAATTTAAGGTAAATATGCATTAATTTTGAGAGATCTCAGTTTTCCTTATATGTATATAATATTTTATTTCTGTCACCTACATAATATACTACATACATCTACATCTACAATATGCTGAGGAAAGACCATCCTCCACATGAGTATACTCTTTGCATTTCGTGTCTGCAGGCTAATATAGCCTATAGGCTGCATGTTTGATCTATTACATATGGACATATGGTATTAATGCGTAAGTCTTGCAGAACTATTGATGTTCCCTCTTTGCTCTTATACAAGTGAACTTTAAAGTTCCTTTCCATTCAACAATGAAATAATAACTAAAGTCTAATAAGTGTCTCGTGTTGTTCCCCATCCACAGCACCAACTACAACTACGGATGAAACATATAACCTGCAACTGACCATAATTTTTGTGATGAGTCTGGGTAACGAATAGCCATGCGCCTTACATAGCGGTTATTAGGTAATATTTTAAATGTTATTGAATTTCTAATTTATATAAAAACCTAATTTGTAAAATCTAATAACTATTGTATTATTGTTGTTATTATTTTAATTTAGGTATACCAAATTCTAAGTAATAGCAACTATTAGTATTTAGTACACTTATAGACCAAATGTATAATATAATATATTGCAGTATTGGGCCAACTCCCGTAACGGGCCTTGAAAATCCTAAGTACTTCCCCGAGGTTATAATAATAATATTATTATATTAAAACGGGTTAAATTACATCAATAGACAATAATAATAATACTATCATTATCGTTTTTATTAGACTACGAAAAATACCGACTACGCTAAATCATAATATATAATATAACATATATAATGAATGTGTGAGTTTCGTTCTTGTCCCATCGTTCGGTTCAAAGCACGAGTTATGCACCTCACGGAAGTCGTCTACACGGCCTGACGTCGTGCCGCCGCCGAATCGGCGACCGCTTGTAGTGGATGTTGTTGTTGTTGCTGCTGCCGCTGTTGTTTGAGCAGCGTCGCGTTCGACTGCTGGTACAACGCGTTTCTGGCGTCTCGCCGGTACAGCAACGTTTCGCGGCCTAGCCTAGGCACTTGCGGCTGGGCCATGACAGCCTGCCGGCCCAGACGCGGCGAGAAGGGTGGCGAGTACGGCGGCGATCTGGCCGAGTGCCGCGACCGCGACGCCACGTCGTCATCGTCCTCCTCCGACGATCTGCCGTTCCTCGCGTTCTGCTTCATCTGTATCTGAGTGTACACTGCAGGGAATAACGCACAAGTATAAGTAAATTAATTTTTTTCTAAGGAGACATATAGGGGGAGGGATCTAGACCATCCGTCGGTCCACGCCGACACGCTGGAGGAAGAGAACCCCTTTTTTCCTTGAAATGTAATATATTCTGCAATTTAAAATACAAAAAATAAAATACGTGGTCCATTGCTGTGTCGATCGTCACAGCGTACCTACACGCGCATCGCGCTGGTTAACGCTATCAGCCATGCGCTTACCGTTCAATATTAATTGCTCATTAAAAGTCAGTGTTTTTATATTATATTAAAACCAAATATGTTTCGTAGACCGTAGTTATACGTAATTCAAACTAATATTAGAAAATGAATATGAGAACCTATAGGTAATATTATAGTAATAGTTATAGGTATATTTAAAAAAAATACGAAATCCGATTATAGTACGATATCAGCCATTATGCGTATAATTATTATGATATCAGATATTCAGATATCAGTTATAGTCAAGAATTAAAAAATAAAATAAACTATTCTATGAATATTTTGAAACAAATTGTCGAAACAGTGATGATTCTATATTTTTATTAGAACAAACATTATGTTCGTATCATTTTTATGTATAAAAAATGTTATAATAATAATTATAATTTATTACTTTTAAATAATATAACTTTTTTGTATTTATATTTTTTTATTCAAACACTTTTTTTAAAACGTTTTCATTATTAATATTAAGATATGGGACATTGTAGCAAATTATTAGCCAGTTGAAAAATATTTCTCGTAGGGCCAGGACTAGTGACTCAATCCGGCCTCGAGTATTGTGAATACAAAATATACTTATACTAGTTATACTTTACAAAACTAGCCTGCTGGCACGGGTATATAATTTTTTTTTTTTTACCGTACGAAAAAAAATACGCCTCAAACACCCGAAGATAAGATTACTCGGGAGATTATCGCCACGCATATACAATATATAAAATACACACTGCTCACAGATCTACACTGTGGCCTGCAACGGTTTAACAGCTAAACATGTGATCGTGTAATGCGTTATTTACATTTTATACATAATGATTTGTTATTTCTGCGATTTGGGGCGGTGAAACGATAGTAATTATTATTATTTTCGCAGGGTATGGTGGTAGTTTCCAGGAGGCTTCCAGCGTCACGCCCCCCTAAAGGCTAAGTCGGGTCGGCAATTTATCACGATATTGTGATATTCTGCAATGCCCAATTCATATTGTGTCATATTATTACGACGACGTGTAGTCTGCGTCTGCCGAAGTCGAGTATCGGATAAATATTACGACAAAACAAAAAACGCGATAACCATTCGCTGCGACGCAACTTTAGACAAAACAAAGTGAAGGCAGATCCCAATAGTATCCTATGTCATTGTCATAACGTCATATGATTTTAAACATAAGCGTATTGCTGGAAAAAATATTATAAGAGAGTATAATATGTAGACCGGAACGGCGAAATATACAATATATATTATAATATGTAATAATATGAAATTAGTTCAACATGATGGTTATCGACGTCCACGCCCAGTGGCGTAATTAAGCGATGGGTGATGTGGGTGATATATGATATATAGAACCTTTTTTTCTGTTGGCTTGTTTTTAATTTATTATAATATTTATCATTTTGGCATAGAAATGAATAGAGAAATATGTATTGTAAACATTAGATCGTGCGTTTTCTATTATATATAGTTAAACACATACTGTGCAGTCTTGTAAGTTGTAATCAAGATTTATATTTCGTCTATACTGTTTGAGATTAAGCAGTAACTGGTAATATACTAATATAGTATGTTTAAATAACCTATTAAAAAAAAAGTGTGTGTGTTATCAGTACGCGCGCGGGAAGTTAAACTTCTTTTGAATGGTACACGTGAATGAGTGAAAAAGAAAGAAAGGCATGGATAGACTGGGTAATGAGGATAATAAAGAAATAAAAGAAACAATGTAAATTATATTTTTTATATTTTTTTTTTTTAATTATTATTTTTTATGCTAATGATTGATTATCATTTTGCTCAATCGGTATAGTAGTTATGATTGGCATATGATGACTGAAATACGAAACGTACATTTGTGACTGAACATTATCCATATATCGCGTAAAAATTGCATCGATTGTTGTGCCTGATTTAGTAGTCGATATTGTTGGATCATTATTCAGTTGCAATAATATATAATATAATATATAAATTATAATATATAATATAACAACACTACCATGACAATATTTATTTATTTACGGACATGTACGCTTTCGCGTTCGTACGGCCGCCCGTTCGTACACGCCGCCCGTTCGCTTTTTTTTTCCTCACTACCCTGCGTAAAGAAGTATAACTTCAAAATACAAAATAAAATATTAAAAATTATTCTAAATAAGGATTCAAGATCAAACCGCACAATAATACAATACACCGATATGTATACCCATATGTGCAAATCGGGTTGGGCTTTAGGGGCTGAGCCCCCCAAACATTTCCTACACTTTGTTTTAAATGTATTCAATATTATCAAAGTAAGGCTTTAGCCCCTCCAAATCCCATACGCTATTTGCGCCAATGTGTATACCTATACTACCAGTAAAAAATATTACTTAATTTTGAATAATCTTATTTTTAAAACCAAACACGAACATATCTAATGTCAAAGTACTAACCATGTCCAAAAAACTAACACAATTCACATGCTTATATTATTTCAGTCTAAAAATTTACAACATATTACCATAGAAATTAAACATAGTTAGGTACTATCGGCTACCCATAATAAATGTATAGAATTATTTCATCACTTATTACATTAATTAAATGATGATTTTATTAATTATTGATAATTTTAGTTTTTTAGATTTATACAGTATTTTATAATTACACGGTTTTCTACACTATATATGTAATATTTATACTGTATACTGTATGAACTTATTTATGAGTGACAAGAATGATTTTTGACAGACAAAATAATTGAATATTGTAAAAATGTTGACTTTTGTTCGTCCGCATAATATCTAAATTAGGTAGTTACCTATAGCCTATACAGTAAATTATTGAAATTCATTTTTGGTTCCGAAAATAAAGTCTTGAAAACCCATATTTGTCTAATATTCTGTGACTGCGATTTGGTGTTAGTTTATCCGTGTATTATTGCCTATTGGTTTAGTGGTGTCACTTGACAAGTCAGTTCAAAATAAATAGATGATAGTGAATAGGTATGTTACCTACCTATAGTTTGTTTAATAGGAATAGTTAACTAGGTAATAGGTATATTATTATTGTTTTCCAGTGAAGATATAAAATGTGAAATGTCTTAACTCTTATTAAGTAGGAAACTCCACGTAGCTGTTACGACGGGCGAATGTAAGTTCCCACACGAGATATAGCAGGTAAAAATTACCCCTGGATATCCATACGTAAGTTCCCACACGAAAAAAATTACACTTGTACGTAAGTTCCCACACGAAACTTCAGACACATAATAATGTTTATATAAATTGCTTATAATTTTATAAATTATTAATGCTCAGCCTTGCCAAACACAAACTTCCTTCCCACTTTATTCAGACTTAGGACTGACAACTTAAACGTAGTTGGTGTGGTTAAAATTTGTTTTGTTTTTGTATTGCATAAAAAAAAGTCCAATTGAATCTAGTCCGTATAATATATAATACAAATTAATAATATAATGTGTATAATATTTGTTTATGTATAAAATAAAAATAATAATATAAAAAATCAAATTTTATTAGGTTTATTGCGATAGCTCAAACATTTCACATAGTCATACTGTGTAATTTTTTGTAAGTTATAATCTTATAATTTGACTATGTGAAGTGTTTGAGCTTTCGAAATAAACCAAATAAAATTTGATTTTTTTCTATTATTATTATTATTATTTTATACATAAAAAATTTCGTTTAAGTTGTCATTCCTAAGTCTTAATAACTTAACTTACGTACAGGTGTAATTTTTTCCGTGTGGGAACTTACGTACGGGCGTATTTTTTTTCGTGTGGGAACTTACGTACGGGAGTATTTTTTTTCGTGTTGGAACTTACATATGTACTCGCTTACCTGCTGTGTTTCGTGTGGGAACTTACCAAACCCCGTTACGACCGCATTAATTATTGCAGCCTTTGGTCATTAATTATTAGTTATAAGTTATAACTATCATAATATACAGGCATATATTATCTGTATCTGGTATAAGACAATACCTAACACATCATATTATAAAACATTTAGGTATATATAGAGTACGACATTTTTAATATTTGATGACTTAAAAATATACCTTTTAGAATATTACTATAGATATTATAATTTATTAAACCTATATTAAAGTTATAATATTATGTGGAGTACCTACTTTTAAGTCTTATTAGATTAATAATATATTAAAATGTATGAGGTGGGCACTAATTTTGTTTTCTTCGATTTTCACAGCCGGAAGTGCAGAATAATATTGTTCGTCGAAACCCGAATCTGACGTCCAGATGGATTTTTCTTGAAATATTATACTAATACGGGTATACGATAAACAGAAACACTGGATACAGTACATTCGTGTGTTGTACCAGTACCATCCTCTTAAGTCGAATATTATAATAATATCACTGAGTCACTGGTGGGTGGACAGCTGGTTTCTTAAATAATATATTTAGGTAGGTACATGGTATGCGTTACATATACACATACATAATATTATACTACCAGAGGCAGTGGCCAGAGAGTCATTATGGGGTGTGTTCATAACTGATATAATACCAAAACATGTGATATAATGTGTGAGATCAATCACGCTGGGGTGTGAAACAAAAACAAAGAAAAAGGGGCAATGGCATAAGTATGTCGTGGCTATAATATAGGTCATATTACTCATATTAGTACAATATCACCATTATATTCACCACTAAGACTTATAATAGGCATTATTACCATCCCATTAATTAAATATAATAAATATACATATTTTAATCAAAATACATTAAATTAAAATATATATTCAATTAATTACTGTACCTACAGTTAGTAGTTATATTTACGTTATAATATCGTTATAAAGTTTAGATGAAAATTTAAAATTTAAATATGTTATAATATAGGTATCTGTCAGAATTAGAATATTGGTTATATCATATAAAAATGAGATTCAAACCTTTATACGACCTACCAACATATACTATTATCAAAGCCATTTTAAAACCCATTGAACGAAATCTAGAAGATTAAATGTGTTATAAATTATATGATATTATTATATTAATAGTCCAAAGAAGTTTTTGTTCAAAATTGAAACATAATTATCAAATGGATACGTGTATCGTGTATGTATCAAAATCATAGGAAATCAGATTTATGTATAGGTACTCTCCGACTGCAGTAAATGCATATATCCCATATAGCAGATGCCAGATAGTGAAATACTATGTATAAGTGAATTGTAACATATTATAGCATACTTTTGACTGCATTATAAAAGTCACCTATACTGCAGTTGCCAGTTGGCCAGTTGGCTCACGTATTATGTATAATAATTACTAATTAATAATACATAATTATATATACCTATATTATACAGTAGGTATTCGAAGTATGATACTGATATTTAATATCTATACTTACCTATATAAAAAATGTATTATGTATATGTTCAGTATGTTATTTTCTACACCAATGCGAAAATGTAAAATATCTAATAAAAATTATTGGCGAACCTCATATTATCATTTATCTCAATACCTTATGCACGCTACATAAATATAGTGTAATTTTTTTCTCGTGCCCCCCTCCTCCACCGTTACCATTTTATGTACTCACGGGAATTATCGATGATCGGTACGAGCACCCACGGCACGTTGTTGATCAGATCCGAAACAGCAGCCTGCTCTGCTGCCGCCGACGTCGAGCCCGCGGCCAACGGATTTTGTTGCAGCAGCGACGAAGCGGCCGGCGAGATCGAGTTTCCGTCCACGGGATGCACGACGCTGCCGCTGAACGGCGATCCGCCACGGCGTTTTCTGCGGCCCAACCGCGGCCCAAACCATATGCCTCCGTTGCTCGACTGGGTCGTTCCGCCACGTTTGTCGGCCCCGTAGGCCGTGGCCTGCACACCCGTGACCGGAGATCCGCCGCCGTAATAGCCGGCGCCGCTTGAGCCGCCACCGCTTTCTCCCCGTCCGACGCCCCCGCTGCCGCCGCCGTAGTCGTACCACAACAAGTCGGCGACGGGCCTCTGTTGGGCCGCTGCCGCTGCGGCGTCGGCCACCACCGCTGAATAATCGTAGTCCAACTGCTCCATGAACTTTTGTGCTTCTTGTAAGTCTATATAAGCAATAATAAATTATACAATATATTCAGCATCGCGTCAAGAGCCCATATGATGGGTAGTCAACTTATACATTATAATACGATCTGCAAGAAAATTAAAAATTTACATTTCGGAATTCGGGGGAAAAAATTGTTTCGAAGGGATTAGGATTTAGAAAGACATGCAAGGCAACACGCCCGCCCGCACACGGCTTTCGCCACCAGAGCAAGTTAAGTGTGCATAGCATAGAAATTAATAATTATAATATCATCTAAGATTTTTTGAAATAAAATATAGTAGGTATTCGATGTTTTTCATCAAAACCTATTACTTATTAGGTACAATAGGTACATCGTACATATTATTTGTTAAGTACCTAACTTAAGTGATATAAAATTACGGATTTATGCATCAGTGGCGTACACACGGGGGGGGTTTTGGGTGTTCAAACCCCCCCCCCCTTTAGTATTTTTTCAGTTTACGTAATAACGTAAAAATGTATAATAAAAATGATGACAATTTAAAAAAATATTATATTCCAAATTATACTCCATTATATTATAACTTATAAGCAACCCAGTTTGTTGTTATAATATATTGTAGATATTATTGATAACTTGTTACAAATTAATGAAATTATTGGAAAATTTGTTCAAACACAAATATGAGGGTCGACAATCGTGTAATCCGATATAATATGCCTTAATAGCTATCGCAGTATCGCTAATACTATAGTATAGAATCTATTTCTCAGTTTTCAATCAAATTCCTGACGCTCTGGACGTTTAGTAAATTGTACTGTTTACTGTTTAAATATTTTATAAAACAATAAAAATGAAAAGAATAAACGAATATTTTTCTAACTCACTAATTTATGATACAATTAATTCGGAGGAACCAGGTAAATATTTAATACATTATATTATCAACCTAGGACCTAGGTACAAAAAAATGATTAATATGGTAAAAATAAATTTCTCTTTATACCTATCTTTTATTGAATTGTATATAATATATTATTATATACATATTGTATGTACGCGTGTAACTTTGTAGTTATACTAAATAATTACCTGTAGGTAATAAGTATATATTTTTTAAATAATAATCGAGAATTGTAAAAATATTTTTAATTTCACCTTAAGTCATTGCTAATGAACCGATTACTCATTATGTACAAAATAATTACTATAGGTACATCGTTTTGATTCATCAATGTATTATATATAAATATGTGTATAATTTTTTTTATATGTAAGCCCCCCCCATTGAAAATAGCTGTGTACGCCACTGTTATGCATAGTTATATGTGTAATATGTATATTTTATAATAATATAACATACCTATAACATTTAGGTCGTATTAATTTTGATTCTGCATGTTTTATTGCGTTGTTTTACCTTTTGCTTTAAACAGAATTAATTCAGTAGGTACTATAATTTTAAATCGTAGACTTCTTCAATAGAAGTTCTTTTGGAAATACATTAATGTGTGAACCTAATATTGTGCTATAGAAAAATATAATTTTAGCATTGATTCAAATATTCAATAAGCAAGTATTATATTTTAATCAATGATTATAGGGTTTAGTACTTTAGTAGTTGGTAGCCCTGGAACAAGTCGAGTTGCAGTGATAATAGCCCGGCATGGTATCATTTTATCAATTCCACAATAAGTATAATTTTCTCAATTTGTAAGTGTACGCACGTGAATTTATAATTTTCCAAGTTTTTATTTGACTGTTATTTATTTGAGAACATAGTCGTAAAATATTTAAACAACAATGACAGATTTCTTTAGTAACAATAGTGATAGTTTTGACCTGGGTTCCTCGTCTGGTACCGGTACTACCGACAAATTGAAAGCCGATGAAATACAAAAAGTTATAATGATGGAACAACAGAAAGCTCAATTAAATGCTCAAGTAACATAAATATTCTTACGCTGTACATATGTCTGTTCCACTATCAGTTAGTTTATTTTTCTAGATACAAGAGATCAGTGAAATGTGTTGGGAGAAGTGTGTGGATAAACCATCAGCAAAGCTTGGTGCAAAAACAGAAGCGTGCCTTTCAAACTGTGTTAAAAGATTTTTTGACTCTTCAGTTATTATCGCGAATAGATTCAATCAGTTGATCCAAAGGTCCAACACTGGTTAGCCAAATACCTACGTTTTTGTGTTTTATTCTTTATTATAATGTTAATTCTGTAGTAATTGAACTAGAACTTTTCAATATAAATCAAGTAATATAAATTGTTTTTCATAGTTCTGTATTGATTGTACATACCTATAGTTTGAGTGAAACTTGCTTGTTATAATATTATTAATGTTCTATATTGTTCAAAATAAAATAAAATATAGTTTATAATATTATTTACAAATAGTTTGCAATATGTTGACTTTTTGGTTTTTGTGTCATAATTAATAGTTCTAAACATTTAAAAAAAAAAATCAAAGAGTCAAATAACTATAACAATGTACACTTAACTGTGAATGTTAACAATATCAATTGATGAGCCTACTTAAAATGCAATATATTTATCATAAGTAAATAAATAATAGTTTCCACTAGGTACCATAAAATGATAATAATAAACTTTAAAATAATACTTAAATACAATTTTGGCTGTGTCTTATGTAAATATTATAATATAAGATAGATTCCAATAGAAAACTTTTAGTATTTTTGTCTTATATTAATTATTAATTATCATGCAACATACCTAATAGTTTGAATAAATTAAGAATAATAAATCCAAATAAAAAATATTAAAGCCTAAAAGTTATGACTAAAATTATTATAAATTAAAATATTTATATAGTTTTTGTAAAATATACAGGTTTTGTTAAGTTTTTTTTTTTTAAATTTATTCAAATTAAAAATAAATTAAAATGTCTTTAAATAAGTAAGAACCTCTCACCTTCACCACAAGCTTTGCTTAAAGGAGGTGAGCAAACAAACTTATTAATGTATTATTTATTGTAACTTTTATTTTACCAAATACCATTTGTTTGCAAATACACATATATATTATTATTATTAAAAGTAATAACATAACACTCACATTTCCATTTTGGTCTTAATAATTTATTTTATTTGTATTGTTATTTACCGACAGTCAATTGACATTATAAGGACAATAACTAAATAATAACATAATAATGTTAAGAAATAATTATTTTATATTAGTGTAAAATTAAGCTTATTTCTATGGTATTATATTGTTGCTGATAATAATGAATAAGTGCAGACTAAAATAAGTGCAGACTAATAAATAATAAAAATCAGGAAATTACTCTTCAACCTACAAAAACAAAACCTCATTAACTCATTAAAAATTTTTAATAAATTCATTCATTCTTCAAGTTGTTTTGAACATTAATGTTTTTTTTTTTAACTATTTTTTTGAAAGTATGAAAAGTGAAAACACTGAAAACCACTAAAGATAATAGTTGACTTATGACTTAGAGTTTAAAATTGAAATATCATAAAATAGAGTTCAATATGACCTTTATAATAATATCATCTATTCGGCATACGTGTCATATGCTATCTACCAAGAAAATCATAGCTACAAAAATCTATGCTATTTTAAAGTATTAAAACGACAACCTTTGAATAAATGTTTGACAAACCTCTTTTTTACATCGTAAATATTTTGTTATAATAATATCTCCTTTCACATCACGTTTTCAGATTTTTTTAAAGTTTCTTTCATTTCACCATTACATTGATCTACAATATAATTTAACTTTGTACACAGTTTTGTATTAGGTAATAAATCACGATCTTATAAAAATTGTATACAAATTCCGTCATAAAAAATAATTTTTCTATATAATTCACTCAAAGTACTCATTTTATAAAACCATAAATTTACAATTAATGAAAAACACACAACTATGACGTTTGATCTCGGCGATCAACAAACACATACTAAAATCTAAAATATAAAATAACTTTGAAAGTTTAAAATTCCTTAAGGAATTATAAATATGTATAATATATAGAAATATAATATTGATACCGTCAATACGGATTACGGTAGATAAAGTAGATATGGTAGATAGCATAAAACACAGACAATTTGTTGGTAGATAGCATTCGGCACGTGTGCCATCTATTCATTTAAAAAAAGTAATGATAGTCCCATTAACTCAACAAGACAAATTACTAGTTTTAAAAAGATATTACTGTAAAGTGACATTTTTAGTTAAATATGCTATCAATGCATGCTGACTGGCACAGTATAAAAACAATTAAGCTTCACATAAAATAAGTTCTGGTCAGATGAAAATGTCTTTAGATTTTAAAACTATTTTCTATAGATTATTGCTAAATTTCAAAAAACATGTTCAGCTGATGAAAGTTAAAAATGTTAAGTCTTTTTACTATTGTTACAAATTCACAAGCCCTGCAGAACAGAGAATCTAAAATATTTTATGGAATGTACCAATAAATTGTACATTTGTACGAGTGAACACCTATGACCTAACCTGATCCTACATACAGCAAGTACCTATATAGTAATCAAATAAATCTTAATACAATTAATGTTACAAATAATTTTCGCATTTAAAAAAAAAAAACATTTTAGTCACTACTTATTAGTTATTAAGTACCTACCTAATAAAATAAAATATTCAATATTATATATTATTATACTAGAGTACTATTGTACATTAATTATTACTCACCATTTAAAATGCTCGCATTTGTCATCAACAGAGAACACGCAACAAACCACAAATAGCACACGGTGCACATTTTGTCTACTATGCCTGTACAGTTATTTCGAGTGTGTCGAGATGAATAAATCGTAGGAGACTGCGACTCGGACTTTTATACAGTTGGTCGTGGGTGAATTAAACAGAAGAAATGCGTTTTGGATTCTCAAATCCTTTTATATATATATATATATGTATGAGTACTCAAATACGCAAAGGTGTATTACAACTCTGGCAAAACAAAACAATCAATTCCAATTTGGTTGCGAAAAAAACAACAGTTGAAATACTAGAACACGATAAATTTTTATTTGCCCAGGTTATTACTCTTCGGATTGTCTTAATTGTGTCATTTATTTGTCGATGTTCATTTTAAAAAATGTCTGTTTTATTTATCACACGTGTTATCGTAGTTCCATTTTAAGAACAATCCTTATTATTGCACAATAGGTAATATCTATTGAATTTATACACAAAATATTTAACAATGACGATCGTATAAAAAATTAATCTAAACAAATACCTATCATTTACAAATAAATAAGTAAATTTACTTAAGTATATAATTATATAATATCTCGGACCTACCCACTTCTTTTTCAAAAAACTAAACCACCGAAGTTGTATCAAAGAATTTAATAATTAGTCTTATGCGTACCATCCTATAATAGTATAACAAATATAAAAGTATTATTATGATTATGCAGATTAAGATAAATAAAAGTTCTGTCGCATGACATGCTCCTATATAAGAACCTCTTGTCTACACCGACGTAAATTTTGCTACAAATCTGGGGGGTAAGCTAGAAATATCAATTAACACGTATTAACATAATTTATTATAATTGCAAGGTTAAGTAAGGGAATACTTTGGGGCCTTGAGAGCCTCGTGTGTTTTCAGGGGAGAGGGGCTCCCACACAATTTACGCGTATGTGTCTACTTCGATTTACCACTATTTTCTATTCAATTAAATTCCAAAAAATAACAAAACGTCGTTAGATTCTATATTAAATAAGCAGGTACCTATATTTATTTAAGTTATAACCTAACATCTTCTAGTCTCGCGCGTATAAAGTAAAAAAAAACTTTAATTTTCAAATAATGTAACACTTTTTAGTGCCACTACCTAGGCAATTGTATACCAATTTAAATTATTTATGGTTCCTAACGTGACTTTTAAGTTTAGTACAGCTTAATCCCCTTTATGTCCGTGGTCCGTCGACTGCCCGTCTGTCTGTTAGGTAGGTACTTAGTAGCTACTATACGTCTACTAGGCAGTAGGCACTAGTAATACTGCCCTAGGTACGATTGTTACTAGATATTATTTTTCAATTTTAATATTAGTATTTAGTATTTATAGTATTCAAAGCAAAAAACCATAAATACATTTAACTGGAGGCTTGTCAATATAAATTATAAATATTTCAATACCTGCACAGTTGAATAAAAATAAATTTATAATTATTTGATTCAAAGTAAACTTGTACTAGTCAGTATTAAAAAAATGTCTAAATATGACTATATGAGTAAATATTAATTGAAGATCCAAGTGGTGTTTTTTGACGATTACGGAACGATGATATGGAATTTCGTTAAAACGAAAAAAGACGTTTTTCTTTATTTATAACAAGCAATTTTTTTATAACAATTTCAAAATTTTTAAACACCCAGGTGTACCAATAGCAAAATCAACTTTTTTTTTCAAATGGTAACCACTATATTTTTTAATGGATTCTGGTAAAGCTTTTTTTTCTGAACATTTTGGTAGTCAAATCGTCAATTTTGGTTCCCTAGTTTATTAACTATGGTCCTCCAAAGATTAGTAAAATATGCATTAATACTTTTAATTAAAATAATGGGTAAAGGTTTAATTTACAAGCGCTAAACAATTTTTTCTTATAACTACCATTTGATACACTACAATAGTTAAATCGGTAATCTAATTAAACCCTCAAAAAAAAAAAAAAATAACAAACATAATTGTTTGTAAACATACTTCATTTTTTTATTTTAACATACGATCATAAAAATCAATGTTCCGTAATCGTCAAAAAACACCGCGTACAATGACATAAGATACACCCTGTATATATTATTTATTATATTCATACTTATCAAGAAATAAACAATGTTATTATTATATTATATTGTGATATGTATTATTTATAATTATTATGTATATTATACAGTATACATTTATATTATATATTATATAGAATATTCAGTGATTTATACGAACCCTCTAATTTTTTTTTTTTTTTGATGTTTCGACAACAGGTCATTAGCATGTGGAACTGTGGGGATTGTACTTATTTGTACTGTAGGTTTTTAACACTTGTGTGTTTGTTTTTAGTAGAATTTTTAAGTGGGCACCTGTAGGTATCTGATGTGCCCGTGTGGGGATGGCAACCTCTCTATCCGGACACTGT